ATCAGAAGAGGATTCATCCTTATCATTTGAAATGTTGAATTTTGATCGCAAGTTGATAATTGCTTTTGTGCTTTAACTGTTGTTTAGTCACTATATGAGACTACTTTGCAAGAGAATTTGAAATTTTGTTGACATAAATTCTTGTTGTATTGATTATTCTGTTAGAACACTTAGACTTGACCCATTTGAACATTTCTTTGGTACCAAGATCTTGAGTCGAATAAAAACACTGTGAATCTAGAATAGTATATATGGCGGCCTTATGATTAGTTTGTATTACATATTTGTACATTTTGATTGTTCTGTTTTTCTCAAAATGTTTCGAAATTGGCATTTTTAATGGGAAATGGATTTTTCAATTTGGGATTTTGGTTCAACAAAAGGTTTCAAAAGCCATAAATGATAAATTTCCAGTAAATTTGACAGAAACACAAAAGAAAGAATGTGATGAACTTGCTTATACTTCAATTATTTTACACATATCTGACACTATTTTGAGAAAAATTAGAAAACTTAATTCTACAAAAAAATTTGATAAAAGTTGGAAGACTTATATTTGCGTAAGTCTACTTCTAATAAGTTGTACTTGAAAGATTTTTCAATTTTAAAATGGATCTTTCAAAAGATCTTGATGACAATTGGTTATTTTCAACAAATTTGTTCAAAATATTGTTAACTGTGATGAAAGATGTCTGAAATGTATAATGCTATTATTTTATTTAATTCTATGCCTGATTCATATAGAGGGATTAAGAATGCAATTAAGTATGGTAGAAATACCTTAACACTCGAAATTGTCATAGATTCTCTTATGAGTAAAGAAATGGGGATTAAGACTGAGAAAGATGATACGATGAGTGGTGAGTTACATATGATGAGGAGTAGAATGAAGTTTAAGCAAATGAATTTGGATAGATCTCAAGACGGTAATGATTCGAGTTGCGACTCGAGTGATGATAGTGGTAAGAAAAAGGGCAAGGATTGGAACAAGTCTGGTGGTAAGCGATGTTACGACTGTGGTAAATTTGGGCACTTTGTAAAGGATTGTCTCAGAAAGAAGGATAAGAAAAAGGGTAAGATGAGAGACGATGCGAATGTGGTTATAGGGTCAAGTGATGATCTTAGTGAGATTTATTGAGAGTAAATCTAGTTACTACATGTGCATCCATGT